GCCTGTCAGTTAAAAAGTTCTTAAGGAAGGATGGTAGATTGCCTCGAAGGCCTAAGGAGTGGGCTTGGGCTAAAATATTATACCTCCAAGTTGTGTTATATGCCTTCTCAAGGTCAAAAAATATGGCAATAACCGAGTGGTTATTCGCAAAGGCATTACGAACATAAGTATCCAAGCGTAGTAAGGGGTCTATGGTAGAACGTCCCTTACGAAAGCCATATTGACGAGTGGAGAGACTGTTGTGTGTCTCTAAATACCACACTAAACGTCTATTTACTAGGCGTTCCATCACTTTGCAAACTGCACTGGTAAGAGCAATGGGACAATAGTGGGAGGCTTCATGTCCCGTAGTGCCTGGTTTGTGGAAAGGGAGAACAATGGCGGATTTCCACAGCTGTGGAAGAACTCCTTGTGACCAAATAAGATTGTAAAGGCGTAATAGGACTGCAAGGGCTGACTGATGTAAATGTTGTAGCATACGAATATGAATGTCGTCAGGCCCAGCTGCCGATGATCGGCAAGCTGAGAGTGTTGCCTCCAGTTCTTGAAGTGTAAAAGGCACATTATACTGTTCTTCTCTGAGAGAAGAAAAGTCCAAGGGTGCTAACTCTCTGGCAGACTTTGAGGAAAGAAATGAGGGGCATAGATGGAGTCCCTGAGAAATACGGACCAGATGTATGCCAATTTCATTGACAACATCTAGTGGGTTTGCTATATCAACACCGGCAACCCGCAGAACAGGAGCCGGGTCAGGAGAATATTTACCACTCAGTTTTCGTACTTTTTTCCAGACTGCACTCATAGAGGAAGCAGAGGTGATGGTGGAGACATAATCTCGCCAGCAAGTGCGTTTAGCGTCACAGATGACATGGCGAGCGATCGCACGCTTCTGCTTAAAATCAAGAAGTCTCTCTGTGGTTCTATTGTACCGGTACCTGCCCCATGCAGCGCGTTTCAAATGTACTGCACGAGCACAAGCAGGAGACCACCAAGGCACACATTTCTGAGAATGCCTGCCCAAAGTTTGGGGTATACAATTAGAAGCTGCGGTTAAAACGGAGGACGAGAAGAGGTGTAAAAGCTCATCGATGGAGGACGAAGAAGGAACCTCTCTAAAAACAGTTAGGCGTGAGTAAAGGTTCCAATTTGCTTGATCAAATTGCCAGTGTGGGATGCGAAGAGGTGGTGAATATGAAGGGGAAGTAAGAATGATTGGGAAATGATCGCTGTTATGCAAGTCCGGGAGAACAGACCAAGTGAAGTCTAATGCGGCGGAGGAAGAGCAGACTGAGAGATCGATGCAAGAGAGAGTGTGAGTCCGAGGATCAAAATGGGTGTGAGTTCCTGTATTTAAAACATGGAGGGGGTGGGTGGCAAGAAAAGCCTCTAACTGAATGCCATGGGAATCACAGTGAGACCCCCCCCCCCCAGAGGAAATGGTGGGCATTAAAATCGCCAAGTAACAGAATCAGTGGCGGTAATGACGAAACAAGAAAGGCAATATCCGGAATAGATAATGCCCGAGAAGGAGAGAGATATAAAGAACAGAGCGTATACCACCTATGCAAGTGGATACAGGCTGCTGTGTAATGCAGCAAAGCACGAACAAATAGCTGATGGTACGGCATATCAGTGCGTAGAAGAAGGGCACTTTCATTAAAGGTCCCATCAGGAAAAGGATCTGAAGAATACAATAAATTATAGCCTGAGATGGGAGAGATAACAGCAGAGTGTAATTTTGGTTCCTGTAAGCAAACACCAACAGGGGAAAACTGGGAGAGTAACATCTGAAGCTCACCCCGATTACCCCTGAGGCCGCGTATATTCCACTGTAAATAGGCCATGATTGGCAATGATAAAGATACCTGAAATCCACAGGTAAGGGTTCCTACGGACTAGAGGGGTTAGAAAAGTCCACATGCGGAGGCAGTGGAAAACATTCAAGCAGCGAAGGAATGGTGCGCTGTGAAGAAAGGAGTTGCCCAGATGGAGCAGAGGAGAGAGAAGGAACGGAGGGTGGATCAGTGTCCATTGATGGTTTGGTCTCTGCAATATATTCAGAGATTGCTTCAAGTGTTTCGGAATTCAGAGACGTTGTATGGGAGAAAATATTGGAAATGGTAGGGGGAGGATGAGTAAAGATTGGAACTGTAATGGACTGTACCAAGGTAGGGGGGGGCAAAAGGGTGGAGGGAACTGGAGAAGCATGGAAAGGGGACAGAAGAGGCAGAAACCTGGGAGGTGGCAGAAGAGGAAGAAACTTGGGAGGGAACAGGGGAGGAAGATACAGTATGAGGAAGAGGGTGAACCTCTACACTTGTAACAGAGCCAGTGAGAGGGGAAGAACCAGGTACAGAGACAGGGAAGGTAAAATGAGGAGGTGGAAGATGGGTAGGAGGTGTTAACGGACCTTTTTTTGACTTTTGAGAAGGAGAGGGACGATTAGGAGGAGGTGTCATACGAGATCTCGTCACTATTGAAGCTTGTGAGGGAGAACACGAAGAAGTGAGATCAGACTTAGGCGTTGAAGTAGGGACGTCTGAGCCTAGAACAGCAAAAGAATTAGATACAGGAGTGACTATGGGAGAGGTAACCATAGAGGTGGTTGCAGAAGATGGGATCCCAGAAGTGGGGGGACGTTTTGAAACACGGGAATAAGAAACACGAGGTAGTCTCCCTTGGAGGCAGAGATGAGAAACTGCCATGCCTCTTTGAGGTAACGGATTTCCCGCTCGTTTAAGTAGACTTGACAACGGCGAGAGTACGAAGGGTGAGCCTCATGACAATTAAGGCAAGAGGGAGGTCGATTGCAAGACATATTAGAATGGTCATCGGCACCACAGACCGGGCATTCGGCGATAGATCTGCAATATTTCGCTGGATGGCCAAATCGCCAGCAATTTCTACACTGTTGCGGTGTAGGGATCACCTTTCGAACTTGTAACCGATGTCCTGCTACATAAACTGAGGATGGGAGTTCATGGCTGTCAAATGTTAAACGAGCCACATTGCTAGGGTATCGTCTCCGCCCACGGGCAGGAAGAACATAAGTGTCTACCTTGAGGATTGGGAGATCTTGGAGTTCCAGCTGTTCAAGAATGTCAGTGCCACATGTCTGGAAATTTTGTTGAACTATGGTATGGGGCAGAATGACGGTACCACTACAAGAATTGAGGGAATGATGTTTTTCAATAGTGACAGGAACAGTATCGATATGGGAAAGACGAGAAAGCTCATGAGCCTGGGTAGCATTCTGTACGGTGATGATGCGCGTACCGCTCTTAAGAGCATGAAAAGAAATATCTTTACCAACATGGCGTAGGAGTGCCTTGCCGTAATACTGTGGTCAGAAAGATAGGCAGTAGAGGAAGTGAAGAATTTAGTGAAGAATTTAAAGTGAAGAATTTAGTCCATTGTGCAGTCTGAAACTGAGCGTGGAAAGGTAGTGAAGGACGTGTCGATCTTTTCTGAGAAGAATGAGAAGGTGGAGAAGTATCATCAGCAGGTAATTGCCGTTGGCGCTTAGGCGTGGGACCAGAGTTGGTCCGACGTGGAACGGGCCAGCGATTCGAAAATTGCCGCACCATAGAGGGAGAGGCCGGAAGCATAGTCAGAGGAGAGCGAAGGTCAGATAAATCGAAGGAGTCAGTCGAGGCCTCAGTACCTGAAGCGGGTGAGGAAACAGCACAGGCAAGAGGTACAGAGGCATGAGGAGGAGTGTCCGAAGAGTGGTCCAAAGACGAGGCGGGGTCAGAACGGGGTGCGGTATCAAGAAGGGGCCCAGGGGTAGCAGGTTCATGGACTAGGGCTGCCATGGTTAGGTTACTTCTTTCTTTTTGTTTTTAAGAAAAAAAAAGAAAGAAAAGAAAATAAAAATTAAAAAAAAGAATAAAAAAGGGGGGACCGGGGAGGGATAGTTCCTAGGAGGAATGAAAGGGCCAGAAATCTCCCTCCGCGCCCAAGAGGACCTCAGCACCGCAAGTAGCGCAGATGCAGCATGGAACCCGTGCCATACCCCACCCATCATGCCAGTAAACCGGCAATCCGGGATAGCAACCTCACATCTGCCGAGCTACCTCGGTGGACAAAAGAGAGGGTGGCCGGAAATCCGCCACAAAGCATACCTCCTTCGGCCACCACCCCCGGAATCCGAAAGGTGGCTTCCAGAGACACACCCTTCGCCCGAGAGACACCCAAAGCCACCCTCCGGGATACCGGAGAGGGATCGGGACATCCCCAGGCAATCCAGATTCCACGGCAAACTACGCCACCGCCAAGAACCTCAATGGAATGGGATGGACCCCGGTACCCTTTCCCCTACCTAGGAACTAGCGTGCCTGTGGGGGAAAAAAAAAAAAATCCCAAAGGCCAAAAAGGAAGGGCAAAAGGGATGGGTGGGGAGGAGGAGGAAAGGAAAAAGGGGAGGATGGGATAGGGAATGGGGGATTGGGGGGTAATTAGGTTCGGTCTGAGGAAGGAGACCGACAGGTCTAATTCCTCAGACCAAGAGCCTCTTCACCACACCAAGGAGCCCCCCTTGAAGAGGTTTAGTTCCTAAGATTAAAGAACCCCTCACCAGCATCAAAACACCTTCCTTGAGGCATAGAACAGAGTTGATATGGTTCCTTTTCCTTAATCTAGGAGATGGATTTCACAAAAATTGGAAAATTTCCCCATTAATGAAGCCAAATGGAGAGAGGGAGGGTTAGGTTATTTATTGTGTATATGGTGCCCCTTCTTTGTACTGGGTCTAATAAGTGTGAGAAATTAACATTTATGAAGGAATATAGGGAAACAGGTTAGAAAGACCAAGTTCTAGAGGTGGGAAGTACAAAATGCATTTTAAGTGCTCATATGACCTATGATGTCTGTGTACTTCTGGCAATGGCACTATCAAATGATTGAAGGTGATGTGGATTTTGTCTTTGGGTCTCCTTATCTTGGTGGGAAATAGCCAATGGTAAATAATTTAAAGTTTCATGGACAAGAATGCACAATCAGATCTTATCTTACAGTTATTATTTACAAATACGTACAAGTCATATTTGTTATAACATTGCATTTAGACATGTAGTAATATAGCATATACCTATGGCTTTTTTTTTTTTTTTTTTTTTTTAACTTTTGTAGCATAGCCCTGACTTGCCACATGCAAGTCAACATGTCTATTACAACCTGGGTCATAAAGTAGTACATTAAACAAGGTGCTGGCAAATAAAAGGGCGTAAGCTCCACACAGCCGTAAATGATTCTTATGTTTCGTTTTGTTCGTACTATTTTGTGGTGGAGGGACTGAAGCATAAACTGTCGATGAATTATGATCTAAAATCACCTTGCAGGTGATGAGCATCCTGACCTTAAAATGGTGTGTCTGGTCTGAGAAATCTCTGACAACTATAATGAATACAAAGTGTCCGATATGATTTTTGTCTATCAGAATTAGTGAGAAAAGAGTGAGAATGGCAGTAAAGAAAGAGAATGATTAAAAGCCCCACTGGTGATAAACATGGCAGAAAAGTACCAGCAAACAAAATGGGTGTAAGGGTCAATCTTGTCCTTCAACACACTAACATGTTTCCAAGTGTTTTCCCATTACCAGTTACAGTATGTACTTAAAATGACCTAAATCATTTAAACTGGTCCTAATACAAGTACAAAAAATGACACTGCAATAACTTATGTGATAATTCATGCCCTATTAAGCATACATACATGAAACTCACAGACAAATCAGCTAATGAGATGTCCTATAAAGCACAATCTGACTGATCCAAATATCTATTTGTTTACGAGTCATGACTTGCAAATTTTGAAAACGTTTTCTCATTTATCTAAAACTGGTACTTACACCCTGTTACTTGCCAGCCCCTCAAGAAATCTGCAGAGTTTCCTCTCATAGCTATTTCTGTAAGAGTACGGTAGTATTTATATTATTAGTCATTATATTGAGAGGGGTATGTAAAACAAGTTAAAAGTGAATACGTATAGAAAACAAAGTGATGAGCGTAACAAAAAGTCTATGATAAATTGAATGTCAGATATTTGGGAGTGGCCATGCCAGGAGATGGGTCGATAAAAAATTATCAGACGAAGGGGAAATAAAGTGAGTGGTGTGTTGAGACATCTGTTGAAAGTAAGTTAATCCTTGAAGACAATAAATGTACCAGTGTACAGTGGTACCGACACTTTTATATTGGTGCGAGGCATGGGTTTTAACTAGAGGCAGGGGAGATGTCATATTTAAGACCACTGTGCGGTGAGAATACCATACACTGCCCTTCCCAGCTTCAGGACTCAAGTCCAGCTAACTGGTTTCCCTTGAATCCCTTCATAAAAGTTATCTTGCTCATGCTCCAATAGCACATCTGTTAAAAACTGCTCATCTCCATTTACTCCTATCCTTTTAACACTCACACATGCCTGCTAGATGTTCAAGGCCTTAAAACTCAAAACCCCTTTTACCCATTCCTTCCAATTATTAGAGATAACCCATACCCCTCACCTCGAACCACATTTATTTACCTTCTTCATCAACCTATCCTTTTCCTTCCTCTCTACATGCCCAAACCACCTCTTAACAACTCCTCAGCCTTCCCTTGGTAATCTCATAAATACCTTTTAATTTCTATGCTGCAAAAGCTTTGCATGATATTAACATCACACACTCCTCTCAAACATGGCATCTCTGCTGCCTCTGCCTCCTCACTTCAGTATTCAAAACCCCATGCTTTAAACCCATATAAATGGGTTGGCACCAATACACTCTGCTACATTCCCTCTATATTTTCAAGTCTCTTGTACGTACTTCTAATAGTATTTATGGCAATCTTACTTTTACTATATGCAATAAAAATTTCAGGAGCATCTCAAAGAAATTATAAAATCTATATAAAATTTTGCAGTTAATAACTAATCTTTCAGCAAGAAACCATACATGAACACATTAAAGATACAGTGTACTGAAAATATAATCCAGTACATTCCTTATAGATGAAAATAATTTTTTTTAGTCTTTTAACTCGAGTTATCCTATTTTTAAGATATTTTTTCTCTTTTAAACACTAAAGTTGTTCAAATAGTTAATTTTATTAACATATCTCTATGCAGAATTACTAAAAGCATTTTAAATTATTTACAAATCATTATTATGATGTTCACAAATTGTGCTTAACCCACAGTTATCTGCAAAGGAAATGCACAACTTCAATGTTGATGTAACTTCAATTTTTGAGTTATATACTTTCTTGTAGTAAATTATTACTGACATTTAGACACTAACTTTCATTCTAAAGAAATGGACATTAAGATACCATAGTAACCGTTTATGTAAATCTTCAATCTAAAGTAATAATATCTTCTGATGATCCACTTTGACCCTGGCTAGGCTTGTTCTGTATTGGTTTGGATGGAGACTGCCTTATCTGAGATGGTCTGGTTTGCTGAACAGTTCTAGGCTGTTGGAATCTCTGCAAGGTGCTAGCCTGTGGTCGTTGAGATGCTACAGGCTGTCGTTGAGATGTTAGAGACTGTGGTCTTTGAGGTACTGAAGGCTGTTGCCTCTGGGATGATGCTTGTGAACGCTGAGGCACAGATGGCTGCGACTGATGCAGTACAGAACCCTGTGGCCGAGATTGACCTCTCACTGGCTGTGTCTTACTATACTGATTTAATAGTCCTGATATATTCCCTGAAGCTCCTCTGGTATAAGCTAGCTCCATCAGCTGTGAAGTGTTTAGTACAACTGATTTATTGAGTTGGAGAGATGAGCTTTGTCTCTCAGATCCTGTTACTGCCCGAGCACTGCAAGAGCTGTTAGAACCTCCAGCCCTTCCCGATGGAGCTTTGTTGCCTCCCAACCCAAGTGATGCCTGATAAGCTCCTAAAAAGGATGATGGTGATGCTGTCTTACTAACAGATACAAGTGGCTTGGGATGGCTCTTAACTCTTGGTGCAGGGGTTATTATTATATCTTTAGATAAAGATGGCTTACTAACCTGCCCAGAAGCTACATGCTTTGTACTACTAATGGTAGTACTTGGTCGGGTTACAACAGAATCAGACACTGGGCTTTTCACAGGACGAGCCTGAGCCTGAAGCTGTGGCCGTGGACGAGAGAGTGTGGTTCCAACTGGTAATTTGGGTACAGAGCTCACAACTGCAGAATCAGTAGTCCTGGAAGTGTTTACAGTAACAGTGGTGCTTTCACTGACAACTGTTTTAGGTAAAGGTGTGTTTGTTGACATGATGGGTGTTGGCCTGTGCACTGTCGAGGTAGGAGATTCTGTTGTAGAAGAAGTTGGCTTAGTTGGCATGGTATCTGATTTGGATGTGGTGGTATCTGGTTTAGAAGTGACAGTATCTGGTTCAGATGTAGTGGTTTCTGGTTTAGATGCAGAGATTGATGATTTTGATATAAGGGTTGTTGGTTTAGAAGGTGAGGTAGTTGCTGGTTTAGATGTTGTGGTAGTTGTTACTTTAGATGTTACAGTGGATACTGGTTTAGATATTCCTGAGGCTGGTGAAGGTCTACTGGACATAATAGGGTGAGACACAGATACTACAGAAATTTCGTCATGATCCTGTAGTGCTGATGAGCAAGATGGTTTAGCAGGACTGACAGTAACTGTCATATTAGGCTTCAAAGGCTTACTTGTTACTGAGGTGGTAGATTTTGAAGCTGAAACAGAGGTAATGGATATGCCATGAGCTTGAGACCTGGCTGCTAGGGCATTTAGTGCAGGCCTTGATTGACCAGGCTGAATAGACTGAGCTGTGTGATTTGCAGTTGTAGATAACATTTGCATAGTGGTTTTGGCACCTTGATGACCAAATGTACCTCCTGCAGAGAGAGCACTACTAGTAGGAGTGCCTGTTGTCTTGGGTGGTGGTGGTAACTTGGTTGTTGCGGTTCCCAGGCCTTGCAAGGAAGCTTGAAAGTACTGAGAAACACTTGGAATGCGCAAGTACTTTAAGAGTTCTGCTTGGTAATATTCTAATTGCTTTTGATGAGTATAAATACTGCCATGATCAAGATCTTTGTTATTTAATAGTGTCTGTGCCTGAATTAAATTCTCATATATTTTGTAGGCTTCTTGTATAGCTGTCATATTGGATGACTGTCGAACAGGATACATGAAGCCTCGTCCTCGTCCTGTTCCTGAAAATCGACCTCTGCGTGACATCTGTGAAGTTCCACTAATTCCTGTATTGCTATTCATATTAACCTGGTTACTAGTAGCAATTGGTGCAGTGCGGTGCTGGAAGTATTGATTTCTAGTGCAGAAGGCATCTGCCTCCCTTAATATATTCGAACGATTATCTAGCTTCATTCCTCTATAGGAACAATACGCTTCAGTAAGCATCTTGGCTAAATGGGGTTCAGAACCTGGTAAGTGCCTGCTAATTTGTTTGTATGATCGATATACATCAAGGAGGAATGCAAGACGACGATTGCCATGCACTGGAGAAGCACTTTTGAATAAACATTTGTATTTGTCTTTCATTGCTTGCAAGCCAACTTGAGTGGCATGTTCTGATAACAATTCACGCTCATTATCCCGCAGGTATTTTTTATCCTTTTCAGGTGAATTTTTAAGAGCAAGAGCTATTTGTAGAATTGTATAAAAGTCTTTTATCTGGGGTAACACGTCCAAGGTCAGAGACACACACCGATACATATGAGAAGCAAAACTTCCTGGACGGTCAACTTCATCGTTTGGAATTCGCCAGACACCATGGAAAAAGTTACAATTTTTGGGTTGTTGAATCCACACTTTACGTTCATTAAAAAGCCCATTGACTGGCATATATGGCACTCTCTGCCAGAACTCGCACCCTAGTAAATAGTTTCGGGAACGGGTGCAGTCCTTATGGAATTTGGAGGTATTATAATAATATGCCAAGCGGAAGAGAGCTTTGTAATTTTCTGGAAATCTTGATAAACAGAGTTTAAGAGCTGTGATACATCTTCCAATAACATTCATATGATCTTTCTTCTCTATTACTTTTTCTTCCACTACTTGAATTTCATCATCACTTTCTCTTTTATCTTTCTCTGGAGATGTAACAAGAATGGTATTTGTTTCTTTTCTTAAACTAGAATTATCCCCACTTGCTTGTATATTATCTCTTGTTTCTGTATTTTTGTCTTCCATGCATTGGTTGGTTTTTGAAAGTGTTTCACCAGCTTTATCAATAGCAGCATCTTTCACACCAGCAACATGACTGTTAATACCATTACCAGCCACTTTCTTAAATGGAGATTCCTTTTCATTCTCTTGGTCATCTAATGATCTCTTATTAGGTGAAGTATCTTGGCTTGGCAAGTTGTTTTCAAGCTTCTCATTGACTTCATCGCTAATTTTCTTCTTTTCTTGACGAGAAGCAAAAGCTCCAGCAGCTAGCTCATCAAGGATTTTAGTAAAGAATTTAACAGTTTCTTCTTCCACACTCTTACCTTCTCTCTGCTGTAAATATTTTAGGATATATGCATGAGGACGATAATACATTTCGAGTGCTTCCACTGAATACTCTTGAGGACTGTTGTAATTAATTTTGGTGGGATATTTAGCCTGTTGCTCATGTAAATATCTACCAGCTTTAAGGTAATACTGTAATATTGTCTCTGATGACTTGCCTTTCTTCTCTCCTACTTTTCCCAGCATGTAACAGTAAAGCCATCTCTCATCAGGTAAATTTTCATCATCCCAACCTTCTTCCCGAATTTTCAGTGCCTGTGTGAAGCACCGTTCAGCCTGATCTAGCATTTCACCTTTCAATTTTTCAAGCATTTGGAAAGTTTCAAGACTGATATCAGGATTGAGATCTTGTTTAAGGAGTCTTGAAGCATGAGAGTGCACCATGTACACTAAACCTCCAAATTCTACCCAAAGATTAGTGTGATACTCATCTAGCTTCAGAGCCTGTTTAAGGCATCTTACAGCTGTCTGAGCAAGTGAGAAGAAATCTTCTTCATCCTGGATGACTTCACAGGAGTTAAGTTGTGTTTCTAACATGGCCTTCATGGCAAGACCAAGTGGAGCCCATGAATCTAATCGATCAGGATTCATGGTAACATCTAGCTTGTAATACTTTATTGCATTTGTCCATTCCTTGTTCTTAAAATAATAGTCACCCAACAAATAAAAACAATCACGTATAATATCTGAGGGTAATATAACTGGGGTGTAATTACACTCTGTCTGCTCCCCACTGATATATGCCTCTACACGAGAAGTGTGATTTTCTGGATTGACCTCTTCTGGTAGCAAAGCAATGATCCTGAAAATAAAAACAGAAATAAATATATTGTAACATTAAGAATAATTAAACACTTGGTTATAAATATACTATTACTCAACCACATCTTGCTCTAGCAAAATTTTATTTTTATATAAAAAAAATAAAAATAAAAAAAGGTATACATAGGTAACCCCAAAAAATGCATGTGAATGCAGATTCAGGCCCACCTTTTATGAAGTGTGGCTACATCATCAGTAATAGATGGTATCTGTGAAGACTGGAAGTCAGGCAGATGATTGGGACAGTAGTACTGGTATAGTTGTAATGCTCGTTCCCAACTAAAGGTTATTTGAGATGCTCCATGATCACGCAGGTGTTTATGCTGTTGACAAAATCACTAAGATTAAAACTATATTCAGTAAAGAAAATATAAATTTAATAGATAAATATATTCATGTACACAGTCGTACTGGTCAGGTTGTGGCAGCCACCAGCAAAATTCTTTTATGCAGGATTACAGGTACATCTTGCTACTTCTACTTACACTTAGGTCACACTACACATACATGTAAATGTTTATTTATACACACTAATCTGAGTTTTCTTTGATTTTATCTTAACAGTTCTTGTTCTTCTAGGTAGTAGGCTGGTAGACAGCAACCACCCAGGGAGGTACTACCGTCCTGCCAAGTGAGTAACATGAAAGCCTGTAATTGTTTTACATGATGGTAGGATTGCTGGTGTCCATTTCTCTGTCTCATGAACATGCAAGGTTTCAGGTACGTTTTGCTACTTCTACTTACACTTAGGTCACACTACACATACATGTACAAGCATATATGTACATACATACCCCTCTGGGTTTTCTTCTATTTTCTTTCTAGTTCTTGTTCTTGTTTATTTCCTCTTATCTCCATGGGGAAGTGGAACAGAATTCTTCCTCCGTAAGCTATGCATGTCGTAAGAGGCAACTAAAATGCCGGGAGCAAGGGGCTAGTAACCCCTTCTCCTGTATATATTACTAAATGTAAAAGGAGAAACTTTTGTTTTTCCTTTTGGGCCACCCCGCCTCGGTGGGATACAGCCGGTGTGTTGAAAGAAAGTTCTTGTTCTTATTATTTTTCCTTTTATATCCATGGGGAAGTGGAATAAGAATCTTTCCTCTGTAAGCCATGCATGTTGTAAAAGTCAACTAAAATGCCAGGAACAATGGACTAGTAACCCCTTTTCCTGTAATGATTAATAAAAAGAATAAAAAGAAGAAAATTGGCAAAGTGGTATGTCTGAATGTGCGTGGATGTTGTGCGAATGATAAGAAAGAGATGATTGTGGATGTTATGAATGAGAAGAAGCTGGATGTCCTGGTTTTAAGTGAAACAAAGCTGAAGCGGTGAGAGAGTTTCAGTGGAGAGAAATAAATGGGATTAGGTCAGGGGTTTCAAACAGAGTCAGAGTTAAAGGAGTAGCAATAATGTTGAAGGATAATCTATGGCAGGAAAAGAGAGAGTATAAATGTATTAATTCAAGGATTATGTAGAGTAAAATAAAGGCTGGATGTGAAATGTGGGTTATAGTAAGCATATATGCACTTGGAGAAGAGAGAAGTGTAGAGGAGAGAGAGAGATTTTGGGAAATGTTGAGTGAATGCATGGGGAGTTTTGAATCAAGTGTGAGAGTACTTGTGGTTGGGGATTTCAATGCTAAAGTGGGTAAAAATGTTGTGGAGGGAGTAGTAGGTAAATTTGGGGTGCCAGGGTGCCTTTAATTGGGCTATGTGTAGAAAGAGGTTTGGTAATAAGTAATACATATTTTATGAAAAAGAGGATAAATAAATATACAAGGTATTATATAGCACGTAATGAAAGTAGTTTGCTAGATTATGTATTGGTGGATAAAAGGTTGATGGGTAGGCTCCAGAATGTACACGTTTATAGAGGCGCACCTGATATATTGGATCATTATCTAGTTGTAGCTACAGTTAAAGTAGGAGGTAGACAGGACAAGAGGAAAATGGCAACAACAAGTAAGAGTGGTGAAAGTGTATAAACTAAGGAAGGAGGAAGTTCGGGCGAGATATAAGCAACTATTGTCAGAAAGGTGAGCTAGTGCAAGTATGAGGAGTGGGGGGGTTGAAGAGGGTTGGAATAGTTTTAAAAATGAAGTATTAGAATGTGGGGCAAAAGTTTGTGGCTATAGGAGGAAAGAGGAATGATTGGCAGACTGATGAAGTAAAGGGTGTGATAAAAGAGAAAAAGGTAGCTTATGAGAGGTTTTTACAAAGCAGAAGTGTTTTAAGAAGAGCAGAGTATATGGAGAGTAAAAGAAAGGTGAATAGAGTGGTGAGAGAGTGCTAAAGGAGAGCAGATGATAGAGTGGGAGAGGCACTATCTAGAAATTTTCATTAAAATAAGAAAAAATTTTGGAGTGAGGTAAACAAGTTAAGAAAGCCTAGGGAATGAATGGATTTGTCAGTTAAAAACAGAGTGGGGGAGTTAGTAGTTGGGGAGCTGGAAGTATTGGGTAGACGGCGCAAATATTTTGAGGAACTTTTAAATGTCAAAGAAGAAAGGGAGGTGGTAATTTCATGCATTGGCCAGGGAGGTATACCATCTTTTAGGAGTGAAGAAGAGCAGGATGGGAGTGTGAGGGAGGTGCGCGAGGCATTACGTAGAATGAAAGGGGTCAAAGCAGCTGGAACTGACGGGATCATGACAGAAATGTTAAAAGCAGGGAAGGGGGGGGTTAGTGTTCGAGTGGTTGGTATTTTTGTTTAATAAATGTATGAAAGAGAGGGGAAGGTACCTAGGAATTGGCAGAGAGCATGTATAGTTCCTTTATATAAAAAGAAGGGGGACAAAAGAGATTGTAAAAATTATAGAGGAATTAGTTTACTGAGTATACCAGGAAAAGTGTACGGTAGGGTCATTATTGAAAGAATTAGAGGTAAGACAGAATGTAGGATTGCAGATGAGCAACGAGGTTTTAGAGTGGGTACTGGATGTGTAGAGCAAGTGTTTACAATGAAGCATATATGTGAACAGTATTTAGAAAAAGGTAGGGAAGTTTTCATTGCATTTATGGTTTTAGAAAAGGCATATGATAAAGTGGATAGGGGAGCAATGTGACAGATGTTGCAAGTACATGGAATAGGTAGTAAGTTACTAAATGCTATAGAGTTTTTTTATGAGGATAGTGAGGCTCAGGTTAGGATGTGTAGAAGAGAGAGACTACTTCCTGGTAAAAGTAGGTCTTAGAGATGTTCAATGTCACCATGGAATTGGCACAGTTACTTTTTGCTGATGATACTGTGCTTATGGGCGATTCTAAAGAAATATTGCAAAGGTTAGTGGACAGTTTGGGAGTGTGTGTAAAGGCAGAAAGTTGAAAGTGAACATAGAAAAGAGTAAGGTGATGAAGGTATCAAATGATTTAGAAAAAGAAAAATTAGATATCAAATTGGAAAGGAGTAGTATAGAAGAAGTGAATGTTTTCAGATATTTGGGAGTTGATGTGTCAGCGGATGGATTTATGAAGGATGAGGTTACGCATAGAATTTATGAAGGAAAAAAGGCGAGTGGTGCGTTGAGGTATATGTGGAGACAAAAAATGTTATCTATGGAGGCAAAGAAGGGAATGTATGAAAGTATAGTGGTACCAGCACTCTTATATGGGTGTGAAGCTTGGGTTGTAAATGCTGCAGCAAGGAGATGGTTGGAGGCAGTGGAGATATCCTGTCTAAGGGCAATGTGTGCTGTAAATATTATGCAGAAAATTCGGAGTGTGGAAATTAGGAGAAGGTGTGAAGTTAATAAAAGTATTAGTCAGAGGGCAGAAGAGGGGTTGTTGAGGTGGTTTGGTCATTTAGAAAGAATGGATCAGAGTAGAATGACATCGAGAGTGTATAAATCTGTAGAGGAATAAAGGCGGGATAGGAGTCGTCTTCAAAAAGGTTGGAGGGAGGGGGTAAAGGAGGTTTTGTGGGCGAGGGGCTTGGACTTCCAGCAAGCGTGCATGAGCATGTTAGATAGGAGTGAATAGAGACGAATGGTATTTGGGACCTGACGAGCTGTTGGAGTGTGAGCAGGGTAATATTTAGTGAAGGGATTCCGGGAAACCGGTTATTTTTATATAGCTGGACTTGAGTCCTGGAAATGGGAAGTATAATGCCTGCACCTTAAAGGAGGGGTTTGGGATATTGGCAGTCTGGAGGGATATGTTGTGTATCTTTATACGTATATACTTCTAAACTGTTGTATTCTGAGCACCTCTGCAAAACCAATGATTATGTGTGAGTGAGGTGAAAGTGTTGAATGATGAAAGTATTTTCTTTTGGGGGATTTTTTTTTGGGGGGGTCACCCTGCCTCAGTGGGAGATGGCAGACGTGTTAAAAAAAAAAAATCATGTAATTATATAACTATGCAGTGTTTGAATTTACCAGGTTATCCTAGCTTAATTTACACAAGTACATGTATTGTGTCGAACCTGAATAAAAACTTACATCAATATTATTTTTTTTGTTGTTTGCTTTTAGAGATTTAATTTGTCAGACCATAAACTAGCTCTTCAATGTTTGTTAAACATCTTAAAAATTTAAAAAAAAAATCATTTATGAAAACTCAAAACAAAACTTATTGCAAACCTTGGATTTTTTTGATGGATGTGAGTAGAGACAGAATGATACTTGTTCTAGAGTTTGGTGCAATAATTGTTGATGCTGGTCTTCAAGAGGTCTTCGCAGCTCCACTAGCAACACATTCAGACAGTAAAGCAAAAATATTCCATCATCATAGCAACACCAAGAGTGTCTGAAACATTATAAAAAATTTTTTTTAGTTTAATTTTTTATATGCATCTATCTCTATATGATAACACCTTACATTAACAAAAGCATCATAATGATAACAAAAAAATTTAAAATAATAATGATCATAAAACAAAACACCTTATTTATCCTGCTAGTAATTATTTTAGATAAGTTACCTGTCACCTCCTACAGCACACACTGCTTAAAGAGGAATGATTCTAACTCACTTCTTCAGGTAATTTAAAGGACACACTACAAGGACGGTTGTGACATTTATGAAGGGATTCAGGGAAAACTGATTAACCAGGCTTGAGTTCTGGACACGAAAGTACAGTGCCTGCACTCTGAAGGAGGGGATGGGGATACTGTGGTTTGGAAGGTCATCTGAACTGTGAAGTCAGCGCCCTTCTGGCAAGATAGCGATTGAACGAGTGACAGTGAAAGCGCTTCCTTCTTTGTCGTGTCACCCTACCTCAGTGGGAGACAGTGGGAGTATTAAGAAAAAATACTAGGATAAAAACTAATAAATTCAAAAGATAACTCAGGCGAGTATGTATATCCTCACATTTGCGTGTATGTGATGTGTACAATGGATATAACTCAGAGGAGCAAGATTTACCATACCTGTCTTACATAGTTATGAAACAGAAAAATCTGCAATCCTAAGAAAGTGTAAAACAATTAAGATTTCTATTACACACTCATATGACAGGATAGTAGCATATCTTCCTGGATGGTTGCTATCTACCAACCTACAGCCTATACCCTTCTCTGGGTCACCCTATCTTGGTGGGCTACTGCCAATTTGGTAGAAAAAAAAAAAAAAAGTATGACATGAGTTTACCTAGAAAAAATAACTTAGGGAAATATATAATGTTTTAAGTGATGCATCTTCTTCATCAATGCTAATTTCTAACACACTGGCAGTCTCCCACCGAGGTAGGGCAACCCGAAAAAGAAACACTTTCATCATTCACTATCCCTGCAGGTACTTTAAAAATAATTCTATGAATGTGACTTACTTGCCAAGCTCATCATGAGCTGTGATGAGGAAAAGGGTTGATGGGTAAGGAAGTCTTGACCCTTTGCTTTCGGCAGGGACTTCTTGACTGGCTCTCTCTTGGTTCATCCTTCGAGGTTTTTCCCTGCCTTCACTCCCAAACCCCGAACCATTGACAATTTTTGTTAGGTTCTGCTGCATTGTGCTAAGCTCACCTGATGGAGGAGTAATATTGCACTTGCATTACATAATCACAAGTGTTTCAAGCAATAGTTTTTGCCTAAGAATGTTGGAAAAGTCATATCACAATTATTTTATCAAGGATTCAGAATGTTTATGCCCTTTAAATACCTAACGAGATGATAAATTAGACGTGTGCAACACTTGGGTATCTTTACTGAGGAAACGTTTTGCCACACAGTGGCTTCACTAATCCTAATCAAAGAAAAATGGTGAAGATCAGGAGTTTGAGGTAATCAGTCCCCTAGCCTGGAGTCCATGTAATCAGTCCATCCATCAAACGTTTCGCAACACAGTAGCAAAACATTTCCTCAATAAAGATACCCAGGTGTTGCACGTGTCTAATTTATCAACTTGTCAGTTCTCTGAATCATTTATCTACATACCTAACGAGATACTTGTTTTGAAATCAAGCTTATAAACTTTTTATTTACAAAACAAAAATACATAGTAATAAGCCTTCAGCTCACAACTGAAATTACCTGGGTTCAATTTTCAGGCAGGGCACAATGTATAGGCATCTCTCATTATACTTATTGGCCTTGTTCACCTAATAGTACAGAGGTACATATAAGTTAGTTCACTGATGTGGGTTACATTTTAGGAAGGACTCCAATTTAAATAAGCCAGACTATTTGCCTGTCTTGTGTTAGCTGACTGGTGTGGGTCGCATCCTGGGACAAAACTGACCTAATTTGCTCGAAATGCTCTGTATAACAAGTGGCTTTCTATATAGTAGTATATCATTGATGTCAGCTATGACTGTATACCTTATACATGTACTTGTAGAAATAAAGATATTTTTCTTCTTCTTTCAATGCACCGGCCATATTCCACCGAGGCAAAGTTTCTCTTTTAAACTTTAGTAATGTATACAGGAGAAGGGGTTACTAGCCCATTGTTCCTGGCATTATCATTTTAGGTTAATAGCCCTCTAGGATATTAAGAATATCTTCTTTATCTTAAAAGAATGTCTGTTGTCCTTCTTGCTGTGTGACTTACCTCCAGTTGTTGGCATCATCTGCTTCTCTTTACCCTCTTGTATGTCTGTCTTTGTATCACTTTGCTTTTGAAGACGTTCCTCATGTGCTAAAAGTCGATGAAGTAGAATCCATGGGGTAAGCGTTTCAAATGGCAAGACCTGAGCATTTTGTGGTCGGTCTAGTTGAACCACCAGCATCTGGATTAATGTTGAAACTAGCTCTACCAATCGCTCATATTTTATATCACACACTGTAAAAAAAAAAATACAAAAACTACATTGAGTTTGTTAGCAATAAAGGAAATCAAGAGTGGCATTCCCAGTTTCCTGTCATAGTTCTAGCTATTGGTATCAAACTATCATTTATACAGAGATACACATGTCACAGCATAAATAACCATTCTTCATACTATTGTTCCCTATACAGTGGACCCCCGGTTAACGATATTTTTTCCTTCCAGAAGTATGTTCAGGTGCCAGTACCGACTGAATTTGTTCCCATAAGGAATACTGTGAAGTAGATTAGTCCACTTCAGACCCCCAAACATACACGTACAAACGCACTTACATAAATACACTTACATAATTGGTCGCATTGGGAGGTGATCGTTATGCGGGGGTCCACTGTACAAGAGACTCAATTGTAAATTGAAAACCAGAATACAGTACTGCATATAAAGAAAATGTGAGTAAAATCTTTAATTCCTTGAATATTTAAAATTCCCTAGAATGAAGTAAGTCACTAAAAATTACTTACATGCCCAAGGTTCCTCAAAACAGAATATACCAAACCTAATTCAGAAAACATGCATAATACTACCCAAGAGTTCTCATTCCTACCTAAGATCCCTCACATTTGTTATAAAATCAACAACGTAAGTACAGCCTCTCCTCAATGACGAAGTTCCATTCCTAAGACCTCGTTCGTAAATGAATTTGTCGTTAAGTGAAGAGCATGCTATAATGGTAGTGGGTTTGTGTCAACCATCTTTCATATTGTTTTAATGTTACCTCTGCACCATCTATAACATTTCTGGTATATTTTTAAATGTTTATACAGTAGTGTACTGTATATTGTAATAAATAGAGAAAATTAGCTCTAACATACATTATTTAGGTATGCATACAGGTCAAAGCCCTTCATAAGTCCGAGTCGTCAGTACGTGTACAGTGGAACCCCGAGTTTCGGCCGTAATCCGTTCCAGGAGCTAGGCTTAAACTCGAGGCGGCCGAAAGTTGAAGCAATATTTCCCATAGGAAATAATGTAAATACAATTAATCTGCTCCAGACCCACAAAAAATATTCACAAAAAATACATTTTTTAAAGAATAACTGTATAGTTTAACATACATATACGTAGTACTTAAAACATACATATAGTATTAAATGAGTAATACATAAATAAACACTTAAAATCACATTTACGTGTACTTTTATCGAAGACTCTTGTTGGCATCTGGAAGATAGGGAGGAGGAAAGAGGGAGGACTTATTATTGCCTCAACCACTGCCTCACTGCCACTATGAAGTTTCTTTAGGCCCATGGTGGCTTATTTCACAGTCACAATCAATAAAGCACTAAACACAATGAATTTATTGTGAAATGCTCGGATGAGTGTGCAGGGTAATGTTCACTCAAGAATAAACAAAGCTAGACTGGCTCACGATGCCTGAGCGGGGAGGTCTGGTACGCTAGCCGAAACACGAGGCAACAGCCGAATCTCAGGACAAAATTTAGCCAAAAAAAGTGGTCGAAACTCGAAGCGGCCAATACTCAGGGCAGCCAAAACTTGGGGTTCCACTATACATCACTAAGCGAGGAGAGGCTGTATAATACAAGGCATTACAAAATTCACTGTCTCAAAAATACTGATAATACCTATTCTGTGAAGCATGGGTAATGAATGTTGCAGCGAGGAGAAGGCTGGAGGCAGTGGAGATGTCATGTCTGAGGGCAATGTGTGGTGTGAATATAATGCAGAGAACTCGTAGTTTGGAAGTTAGGAGGAGGTGCGGGATTACCAAAACTGTTGTCCAGAGGACTGAGGAAGGGTTGTTGAGGTGGTTCGGACATGTAGAGAGAATGGAGCGAAACAGAATGACTTCAAGAGTGTATCAGTCTGTAGTGGAAGGAAGGCGGGGTAGGGGTCGGCCTAGGAAAGGTTGGAGGGAGGGGGTAAAGGAGGTTTTGTGTGCGAGGGGCTTGGACTTCCAGCAGGCATGCGTGAGCGTGTTTGATAGGAGTGAATGGAGACAAATGGTTTTTAATACTTAACGTGCTGTTGGAGTGTGAGAAAGTAACATTTATGAAGGGGTTCAGGGAAACCAGCAGGCCGGACTTGAGTCCTGGAGATGGGAAGTACAGTGCCTGCACTCTGAAGGAGGGGTGTTAATGTTGCAGTTTAAAAACTGTAGTGTAAAGCACCCTTCTGGCAAGACAGTGATGGAGTGAATGATGGTGAAAGTTTTTCTTTTTCGGGCCACCCTGCCTTGGTGGGAATCGGCCAGTGTGATAATAAAAAAAAATAATAAAAAAAAAAAAAAACCTATTCTGCAATAACAGGATTAAACAAAATGGCTAAATTTCTGGGAAACAGTTAAGCTAAACTTAATTCATCACATGTTTTGATGAGACTTTCATTATTCCATAAATCCCAACGTATAAAAATTAAGGGACGATACCTAGATCTGCAGTGAATGAGAGGCTGTACTCATCACTATGCTTGTAATGACTTACTTCAGTCAGGGGACTGAGGCGATGTCCAGCTCTTAACTTCTGATTGACTGGCCTGAGTGAGCCCTATCTATTGTTTTTAGCCCTTGAATACAGTTTGTTTCTATTATGTCATTGCCCAGGTCATTTCATTGAAATCAGTGGTCCTCAATCTTCCTACACAAGTATGCCACAGTTGATAGTCCACATTTGATGTGGAACCTACATAAAAGTGAATTCATAATTTAATGTGAGGGCCACATCCACTTCTTAGAAGGGCCACATGCAGCCCATGAGCCACAGGTTAGGGACCCATGATTTACAGTATTTACCATCTTGAAGAAATACTTCCAAATATTGCTGTGACTCATTTGGGTATGCAATTTCCTGCCATGTTCCCTTGTTCTAGCTGTTTCTCTGGTAAAGAAACTATCCTTATTTATCCTGTCTATGCCCACAGTACTTGTATTTTATGATCATATCTGCTCTTGCTTTTCGTTTTTCCACTGACAAAAGTCCCAGTTCAATGGACACAGTACTTCTGCTGTATTGATACTGGCCATTTACTTTGATTCTGCTTTTGTTTAATATATCAAGTGTGATCACTGGAAGGCACTGTTCTCAGCCAGCTAGAAATCTTTTGCACCATAAATAAGCATCACTCAACACTGTGTTCAGGGTAATGAGGTTCAATTATTCTCTTTCCAAATATGATTTTTCAGCAAGTATGTGAAATTTCTTAAACTATCACCCCTCAAGGGAAGTTCCTTGATGCTGGTGAGGGGCTCTTGATCTAGGGAATTGGATCTGTACTCTGGTTCCCTGAATTGAGCCTGAATATCTTCCATACCCCCCTCAGATGCACTGTATAATCCTACGGGTTAAGCGTTCCTCCATGATTATAATTTCTTCTTTCAACGTACCAGCCGTATCCCACTGAGGTGGGGTGGCCCAAAAGAAAAAACTAAAGTTTCTCCTTTTAAATTTAGTAATATATACAGGAGAAGGGGGTTACTAGCCTCTTGCTCCCAGCATTTTAGTCGCCTCTTACGACACACATGGCTTACAGAGGAAGAATCCTGTTCCACTTCCCCATGGAGATAAGAGGAAATAAACAAGAACAAGAATTAGAAAGAAAATAGAAGAAAACCCAGAGGGGTGTGTATATATATATATGCTTGTACACATATGTGTAGCGTGACCTAAGTGTAAGTAGAAGTAGCAAGACGTACCTGTAGTCTTGCATATTTATGAGACAGACAAAAGACACCAGCAATCCTACCATCATGTAAAACAATTACAGGCTTTCGTTTTACACTCACTTGGCAGGACGGTAGTACCTCCCTGGGTGGTTGCTGTCTACCAGCCTACTACCTACAACAATTATAATTATATAATAATTATCTTTATAGGTAGTAGGTTGGTAGACAGCAACCGCCCAGGGAGGTACTACCGCCCTGCCAAGTGAGTGTAAAACGAAAGCCTGTAATTGTTTTACATGATGGTAGGATTGCTGGTGTCCTTTTTTCTGTCTCATGAACATGCAAGATTTCATGTATGTCTTGCTACTTCTACTTACACTTAGGTCACACTGTACATACATGTACAAGCACATACATACACACCCCTCTGGGTTTTCTTCTATTTTCTTTCTAGTTCTTATTCTTGTTTATTTCTTATCTCCATGGGGAAGTGGAACAGAATTCTTCCTCCATAAGCCATGCATGTTGTAAGAGGCAACTAAAATGCCAGGAGCAAGGGGCTAGTAACCTCTTCTCCTGTATATATTACTAATGTAAAAGGAGAAACTTTCGTTTTTCCGTTTGGGCAACCCTGCCTCAGCGGGATACGGCCGGTGTGTTGAAAGAAAGAATAATTATCTTAAACTATCATGCTTTTTTGGTCACCAGGCACTATAATAGAGTAAAAATTACCCTCAATTGAAAAAAAAAACTATCTGCATCTGAGGGCAGAGGGGGCTTTGCCCCCCTAGCCAACACTCCATGGCTGCACCTCTGCAAGTATATTACAGAAATAATAAAACACAAACCGGCATTCATGTTTTTCTCCAATGTTGTGTTAATAGTATCACAGATCTTCATCAAAGTTTTTGCCCATCTGTTTTTCTCTTCCTCTGCTTCAGCTCGGTTATAGCGGTATAAAGCTTCAGTCAAAGATTGGGAGCCCCATACAATAACATCCTGAAAAAATGCAGTAGTTAAATTAACTTATTACAGCGCTCAGTAACAATGAAGACTAAGGAAAACCAATTGTTTTCTTTGCAGACACCACTGGAGCAATGGATTAAATTAAAAAGAGGGAAGTAAGTGTTATAATCACTGATATTTTAAAAAATTGTAAGAAATAAAAACTGGAATTGGGACACCATGAGCATAGCTCTGCTCCTGTTATATAATTTTACCTTTATGTTTACAAATGGATAATTACAAATGAGGCAATTAGAAACCAATTAAAGTTTTAGAACTGCTAAGTTACAATTCTAACATGGTTGAAACAACCACCCTTTGTACTACTGCTGCTTGTTATACAAAATGACTTACTTAAAAACCAAGAACAAAACTCATTTGTAAGTTGGTAACTTCCTGCATGATACTATGGCAAATGTTTTAATTTAACCCTTAAACTGTCCAAACGCTGTCCGAACGTAGATCTACGTCCGATTTTACATGCTTTCTTCTGTAAAAAAGAAACAACGATCGATGATCGGAAAGCTACGCAAGTGAATGTAGACCAATGTTTGGACAGTTTAAGGGTTAAAGCAAATTACTTTAGAAAATGATGAGATAATGTATCATATTATCACAACACTAGACATAGCACTGTATACATAATGTAATTTATTTTTTTATCACATCGGCCATTTCCCACCAAGGCAGGGTGACCCTAACAAGAGAAAACCCCCAAAAAGAAAGAAAGAAACATTCATCATTCAATGCTTTCACCATTACTCATACATAATCACTGTCTTTGCAGAGGCAGTTAACCCTTTCAGGGTCTGTCCCGTAGATCTACGGCTTTACGTTCAGGGTCCAAACCGTAGATCTACGTCATGAGCTCAGCTCACTCTGATAAACTATGAGTGGTTCATTTGGGCCTAGATATGAGCGAATACATCTATGTGGTATGTGTGCACCACATAAAACAGATCCTGCAGCACACTGTGTATAATGAGACAAAAAAACTGAAATCATGATTTTTCGATTAAAACAGCAACTTTGCAGTGTTTTTCGTATGTTTTTTATAGTTGTATTTGCGATTTCTTGGTCTCAATTGATAGAATGGAAGACATATTACAGAAATAGAGATGATTTTGACTGGTTTTAGCACTGGAAATGGCTTGAAACTGAGCTCAAAGTAGCAGAAATGTTAAATTTTTGCCGATATTCAAGAGTAAACAAACGACCTCACACGTCTAATACACGCCAGCTGGTGGGTCTAATATGCATTCACAAATATGGTGATGATATTTATACAATTATTACAGTATTGCATAACAGTAAATCTTCTATTTTTTGGTGTGAATAAAAATTCATTATGTGAATAAAAAATCAAAATGGAATTTATTTGTAAAGCCTCAAAACGTAACTAATGAACAGACGAAATGTTAGTTTAGTTCCAGGAATACCTACATTGTTTATTCTGGACCCTATTTTGAAATTGAAATATTTTGAACTTTGTGTTAAATTGGCCAAATTAACAATTTCCGATCACTTTAATTTGTAGTTGAAACAGTTGACTTGCTGATTTCTTGTGCTCAATCGATAGAATAGAAGTAATACTAGTGAAATAGCTAAGAATTTGGTTGGCTGGAATAATGTAATTGGCCTAAAATGGGAATCAAAGTCGGCAAAATCGCCGATTCGTAAATATCGTTGACACATCAAAATTCGCGAGAGCATAATTTCGTCAATTTTCCATCAAATTTCATACTTTTTGCTTTATTACCTTCACAAAAAGATTCTCTACCATTTCATAAGAAAAAATAACAAATTTTTTTTTTTTAAATTCTTGGACACTGGGGCACCACTTCAGATGTGGGCCTTGGACCCTGAAGGGGTTAAAGGACAAAAACTGAATTTAGACAGCCAAAATGTTCTTACATACCTTGTGATTCTTAAGCTTGTACAGGGAGTCGATAAGAATGGCTAACTGTGTCTGTCTGGTGGGTAATGTAACACCTGGCCGAGGTTTTGGAGGGGACTCGTGGAATATGGCTGTCAGCAGATCCACTACAACTTGGTAATGCCCATCTGTATAGTTACCAACAACTTGTTCCAGCATCTGTGAACTGGAGAATAATACAATTACAATTAATACAGTCTTTCACATCTTCACTGGAACCTTCTGCAGTAAATTGCTGCCAATTCCAAATACAACAGATATATTCCCATGTCATAGTGGGAAGGTTTGGAGTGCCAGAGGTAAATAACATCTGGGGATTTTTAAGTTTGCTTAGAAAGACCTTTAATAATGGCACATTATTGTTTAAAAAGTAACAGGTATGATTCAAGTACACAACAAAGTAGTTTGCTACACTATGTACTAGTGGTTAAGAGGCTGAATGGTAGACTTCTGGACAAGTACGTCTTAAGAGGAGAAACTGATATACCAGATCATTATTTACTGGTAACCAGAGTAAGAGAAAGGTGAAAGTGTATAAACCAAGTGAGGAGGAAGTTAGGGTGAGATATAAACAACTAATGGCAGAAAGGTGGGCTAGTGCAAGTATGAGTGGTGCAGGGGGGGTAGAAGAGGGTTGGAATACTTTTAAAAATGAAATACATATTAGAATGTGGGGCAAAAGTTTGTGGCTATAGGAGGGTGGGTGCAGGAGGAAAGAGGAATGATTGGTGGAATGATGAAGTAAAGGGTGTGATAAAAGAGAAAAAGGTAGCTTATGAGAGGTTTTTACAAAGCAGAAGCATTATAAGAGCAGAGTATATGGAGAGTGGTGAGAGAGTGCCAAAGGGGAGCAAATGATAGAGTGGGAGAGGCACTGTCAAGAAATTTTCATGAAAATAAGAAAAAATTTTGGAATGAGATAAGTTAAGAAAGCCTAGGGAATGAATGGATTTGTCAGTTAAAAACAGAGTAGGGGAGTTAGTAGATGGGGAGCTGGAGGTATTGGGTAGACAGTGCAAATATTTTGAGGAACTTTTAAATGTCGATGAAGAAAGGGAGGCAGTAATTCCATGCACTGGTCAGGGAGGTATAACATCTTTTAGGAGTGAAGAAGAGCAGGATGTGAGTGTGGGGGAGGTGCATGAGGCATTACGTAGAATGAAAGGGGGGTAAAGCAGCTGGAACTGACGGGATCATGACAAAAATGTTAGAAGCAGGAGAGGATATAGTGCTTGAGTGGTTGGTATTTTTGTTTAATAAATGTATGAAAGGGGAAGGTACCTAGGGATTGACAGAGAGCTTGTATGGTTCCTTTATATAAAGGGAAGGGGGATAAAAGAGATTGTAAAAATTATAGGGGAATAAGTTTACTGAGTATACCAGGAAAAGTGTACAGTAGAGTTATTATTGAAAGAATTAGAGGTAAGATAGAGAGTAGGGTTTTGGATGAGCAATGAGGCTTTAGAGTGCATATGGGAGCAATGTGGCAGATGTTGCAAGTAAATGGAATAGGAAGTAAGTTACTAAATGCTATAGAGTTTTTATGAGGATAGTGAGGCTCAGGTTAAGGTGTGTAGAAGAGAGGGAGATTACTTCCCGGTAAAAGTAGGTCTTAGACAGAGATGTGTAATGTCACTATGGTTGTTTAATATATTTATAGATGGAGTTGTAAAAGAAGTAAATGCTAGGGTGTTGGAGAGAGGGGTGGGATTAAATTATGGGGAATCAAATACAAAATGAGAGTTGATACAGTTACTTCTTGCTGATGATACTGTGCTTATGGGAGATTCTAAAGAAAAGTTGCAAAGGTTAGTGGACGAGTTTGAGAATGTGTATAGGCAATGTGTATAGGCAATGTGTATAGGCAGAAAGTTGAAAGTGAACATAGATAAGAGTAAGGTGATGAGGGTATCAAATGATTTAGATAAAGAAAAATTGGATATCACATTGGAGAGAGGGAGTAAGGAAAAAGTGAATGTCAGCAGATGGATTTGTGAAGGATGAGGTTACTCATAGAATTGATGAAGGAAAAAAGGTGAGTGGTGCGTTGAGGTATATGTGGAGACAAAAAAACGTTATCTATGGAGGCAAAGAAGGGAATGTATGAAAATATAGTGGTACCAACACTCTTATATGGGTGCGAAGCTTGGGTTGTAAATGCTGCAGCGAGGGGACGGTTGGAGGCAGTGGAGATGTCCTGTCTAAGGGCAATGTGTGGTGTAAATATTATGCAGAAAATTCGGAGTGTAGAAGTTAGAAGGTGTAGAGTTAATAAAAGTACAGTGGACACCCGCCTTATGATATTAATCCATTCCTGAGAGCTCATCGTAAGCTGAAATTATCGTAAGGCTAATTAATTTTCCCCATAAGAAATAATGGAAATCAAATTAATCCATGCAAGACACCCCAAAGTATGAAAAAAACAAAATTTTTACCACATGAAATCTTAATTTTAATACACACAAACTGAAGAAGACATGCACAATTACTACTCTACTAAGAATAGAATACATGACACTTACCTTTATTGAAGATCTGGTGATGATTGATGGGATGGGAGGAGGGGAGTGTGGAAGTTATTGTTTAGAAGGGGAATCCCCTTCCATTAGGACTTGAGGTAGCAAGTTCTTTTCTGGGGTTACTTCCCTTCTTTTAATGCCACTAGAACCAGCTTGAGAGTCACTGGACCTCTGTCGCACAACAAATCTGTCCAGAGAGGTCTGTACCTCCTGTTCCTTTAAGATTTGCCTAAAATGGGCCACAACATTTGTCATTGTAATAGTCACCAGCACGGCTTGCAATAGCTGTGTTAGGGCGATTTTCAACCCACTTTGCACACATTTCCTTAATCTTTGAAGTAGGCACAATGGATTCCACAACTGGCATAGGCTTCTCAGAGTTAGTCCCAAACCCTTCAAAATCTTTCTTAATTTCCATACTGATTCTCACCCTTTTTACCACAGGGTTGGCACTAGAAGCTTTCTTGGGGCCCATGGTGACTTATTTTGCAGTTACAAGCACAAAAGACACTGGGATAAGGTGAAATGTACCGAATGTATGCGTGGATGTGACCACGCTGGCTGGCTTGTAAACACTGGCATCCATGGGGCAGCTGAGGCCACACGTGGAACACGTCCTGGACGAATCACGTAAAGCGAGTTTTTTATCAAGGTTACAGAGGCAAGCAGTCTATCCCAGCACTGATATTTTGATAAATACTGAACATAATCATCAGTCGCAGAAGATTTCTATAATACACTACATTAAACCACTGTTCTACAAATATGCTTTAAAACCAGCATTTCCTAAGACAGTGTCTCTGTTTTAGGGAGACTGAAAGAATAACATTCAATTAAATAAAAACTCAGCAAAATGTCTCACCGTTGCAAGAAGTTAAGCTGGCGTTTGACTTCTGAATTTGACACAACTGTTGGGTCAGCTTCTATTCGAGCACAGTCAACAATGTATTCCTTCTCAGCATCAACTAACCGGTTGAGGTCAGCTAAAAGCTGCAAAAAAGAAAGAAAAAACTAATAAATACACTTTTCTTTCTTTGAATCTTACTACAGTTTTACTAAATTTGACATAACAGGTGCATGAGAGTAACTGATTGATATTACAAAGTAATGAAATTATTGGAACCCTGGAAAGATCTATAAAACTGATGGTAGACATTCTTAGTTAACAAAACACTAAATATGTTTCCTTCTCTGCATTACCCAACCTTGGTGGCAGATGGCCAGTGTTAAAACAAAAGTAATTGCTTTTTGGGTGTTTTTGATTAACAATTTCACATATATATAAATACATAAATAAAAAAATACACAAAATTGAATAAATATATTGCTAACCAGTTCTAGATACAAAACAGCCTCCTCAGGTTCTTCTTGAGAAAGCTTTATCTGGGCCTGAAGCCAGCGTAGTCTTGTATGAAAGTTTGGAGTTTCCTCTACCCATACATCTCCCCGTCCAAGCATGAGCGTAAGATGAACCATATCATCCTCCAAATGCTGGCAGTCCCTAGAGAAAGGTTTATTTCTGGGTTAAGAAATGAATAAACACAGATTTCATACAAAGTTAAATACACACAAACTAATGGGCAGACAAAGAAACATGAATGTGCATCTAAAACGTGCACAGTATATTAAGACTAATTCAAGTACGTACAGTACAGGTGCTCCTTGACTTACAATGGTTCGATTTGCAATATTTCGACTTTATGATGGTGCAAAAGCAATTAGTTAGAGCAATTGTTTGTTTATTTACCCATTCTGTGACAGCAATGATTTATTTACTTATTTAGCATATATTCACCCTGCCTCGGTGGGAGACGGCCGACTTGTTAAAAAAAAAAAAATTCTTATCAGACTTACGGTATTTTCAATGTACAATGGGTTCGTCAAAACATAACCCTATCATAAATCGAGGAGCACCTGTATGTATGAATTTTCAGCATGTCTAAACATAATATTGTAGTTCAAATAATACAGTATAAGACACTCCTGCTCATATTGTAAAAAGTAAATTCTCAGTTTTAGTATTGAGAAAGATTTAGGAAACAGTTTTTTGCTCATTTTCCAAAGTTTATGTATTATTCAGAAATAAGCGATGTCACTGTTGGTACAACTCTTTCCCCCCCCCCCCCCCCTTTTTTTTACTGACGCTCTATGTTAGTGAACTACCCATCAACATGTTGAACTACCCATTAACATGTTAGGTAGGACACAGGTACAACTAACATGACAGTTTATTGTGGCAATGTTTTGCTCTCCAGGAGCTTTGTCAAGCTGTTACCTCACTGGCTTGATAAAGCTTCTGAGAGAGAAACATTACCACAATAATAATAAAAAAAAAAAATTAGTTGCACTTGTGTCCTTATGTCTAACATACTGTCAGCAATTCTACCACTATTATTACCCATCAACATGTTAAAATTCTCTTACTTGACAATGCTAGTATTTATCTTGGAGATTTGGTAAAGGCTCACTGCAAGCTCCCAGTGAGTGAGGGAAAGGATGGAATCCTGGTAAAGTAGAGTTCGGTTTTCCTGTAGATTCAAAACTGGTCTATGACACACGTGATTTCTGTTGAAAGATTCTTTAATCAAAATTTTGCAAATACATGTATATATTGATCAAAAAGTATGAAAGGACAGTATGTGAATACATTCTTTATTTTATTGATAGACTGAACACGTAGTTTCATTACTACTGTGCACAGTACTTGCAAAAGAGCACATTGCATGATAGCTAATAAATGAATGAATGATGGTGAATGTGTTTCTTTCATTGGGATACCCTACTCTGGTGAGAAAAGGCTCAAATAATATAAAAAAAAATAAAAAGGAATATACAAGAGTATGGTAATCCAAACACTTTAGTATTTATTGCTCTGTTTATATGTCGAATGTGTGCATGGCACGGTCTATGAATAATGTGATAAGGAAAAATATTATGCAAAGAATAACGAGTGAAGAAATTAGAAGATAGTTTGACAATATGAAAGGCATAATTTAGAGAGCAGACGAGTCATTGAGAGGGTTTGGTCATTTAGAAGGAGGAGCAAGACAAAATAAGAGGGTGCATGAATTCAGGGTGGACCAAAGGTGGGTTAGGATAATTAGAAAGTATAATTAGAGAGCGAGTGTAAAAGTTTTACGTAATAGGTCCTTTCCTTATTAACACACACCATGTATCCACCAGGGTGAGGCTGTCTTGCCAGTGTGTGCCCACATCAGAACTTAAATGAATCTTCTAACAGTAATATTCCCAGCCCTCAGAGTGCAGGCACTGTAGTTCCCACCTCCATTCTGAGCATCCAAAATGCATGGATTGATGAGCGTGTTAGAGTGAAGTGGGTAGAGAAGTGATTTTTATGATTTGTTGTGGTGATGGAGTATAAATAAGGTAACATATGAAAGCATTCAGGGAAACCAGTTACTGGACTACTACTGGTTAATCTGGCACTTGGTACCAACACTGCTACATAGGTGTGATTTTCAATACCATAGTAAGGAGAAGACTGGAGGCAACAGAGAGGTCATGTATAGAGAGAATTCAGAGCATGGAGATTAGGTGTGGGGTTACCAAAAGAATAATTCAGGGAAGTGAGGATTAGGGGTAATCCCATGTAGGGTTGTTGGAAGGGGATAAAGGTCCTGAGAGTTTAGGGCTTGAACAGGCTTGTGTGAGCACCTTAGAACAGAAAAAGTGGAGACAAGGGTGTGTAAAGGAAGAAAAAGTTGAAAGTGAACACAGATAAGAATAAGGTGGTGAGAGTATAAAATCAGTTTGGTAAAGAAAAACTGGATATCAGACTAGAGAGAGGGAATATGAAAGCAGTGAATGTGTTCAGAAATCTGGGAGTAGCTTGTCGGTAGATGGGCTTATGAAGGATGAGGTAAACCATGGAATTTATGAAGGAAAAACAATGGGTGGTGCATTGAGGTAACTATGGAGACAAAAAACATTAATAGAGGCAAAGAAGGTATGTATGAGAGTATAGTGGTACAAACACTCTTATATGGATGTAAAGCATGGGTTGTGAATGTTGCAGCAAGAAATAGGCTGGAGGCAGGGGAGGTGTCATGGTGTAAATATTATGCAGAGAATTCATAGTGTGGAAATTAGGAGGTGTGGAGTTAGTAAAAAGTATTATTCAAAGGGCTGAGGAGGGGTTGTTGAAGTGGTTTGGTCATTTACAGAGGATGGCACAAGACAGGATGACTTGGAGGTGTATAAATCTGTAGTGGAGCGAAGAACAGGTAAGGGTTATCCTAGGAAAGGATGAAGGGAAGGGGTAAAAGAGGTTTAGTGTGTAAGGGGCTTGGACATACAGCAGTCATATGTGAGTGTGTTAGATAGGAGTGGAGATGAATGGTTTTTGGGACTTGACAAGCTGTTGGAGTGTGAACAGGGTAATATTTTCCAAAGAGATTCAGGGAAACCAGTCAGCCAGACTCGAGTCCTGGAGGTGGGAAGTACAATGCCTGCACTTTAAAGGAAGGGTTTGGGATATTTGCTGTTTACAGTGACATCTAAACTGTTGTATCTACACCTTTCTGCAAAGACAGTGATAGCATGAATGATGGTGAATTTTTTTTTTTTTTGGGGTGGGGGTGGGGGTTACCTTGACAAGCTATTGGAGTGTGAGCAAGGTAACATTATGAAGGGATTCAGAGAGAATGATTAGCTGAGCTAGAGTTCTGAAGAGGAGACGTACAGAACCTATACCCTAAAGAGGAAATGAGGATGTTGCAGTGTGGAAGATCATTTGAACTGTGGTGTCAGCACACTGCTGACAAGACAGTGATTGAATGTGTTTCTTCTTTTTTTTTCTTTAGGTTGCCCTACCTCAGTGGGAGATGGTCAGTGTTTTTTTTTATTAACACATCAGCCATTTCACACCAAGGTAGGGTGGGAAAACGGGCCACCCTATCTTGGTGGGAAACGGCTGTGTTAATAATAATAATAATAATAATAATAATAATAATAATAATAATAATCTCAATTGAGGTGCAAGCTATTTCACTTACGAGAGAAATATTAACAACCTTCGTTTTACTCTAACATAAACCTCAAATTTATTAATGCTTGAAACTTTGCTTACCTGACCCGAGGGTAGATTTCAATGAACATTTTTGCTGCTGCTAAAGGCCACAGTTTTCCATGTTTGTGAAAAAGGATCTGCAAAAATTGTTGACTTAAATCTAGAATGCCTCCATTCTCCTCATGGCGCAACAGAAAGGCTTCAACCTGATTGAAATATTAAAAAATATTACATTCAAGCATATCCAAACAAATCATTACATTATTTATGCATTAAATATATCTTCTTTCAACATGCCAGCCATATCCCACTGACGTGGGGTGGCTCAAAAGGAAAAACAAAAATTTCTCCTTTTACATTTAGTAATATATACAGAAGGGGTTACTAGCCCCTTGCTCCCGGCATTTTAGTTGCCTCTTACAACACACATGGCTTACGGAGGAAGAATTCTGTTCCACTTCCCCATGGAGATTAAATACATGTATATACTTTTTGAAAATACTGTATGGGCAAAAGACAAAACAAAAATAGAGTGTGCCTCAAGGATGTAGCAAACCTTAATTCTAGCATTCTAAAATTGTTACCTGTGCTTCCTCTGTTGCAGAAGATAAGATATCCACATCTCTCATTTTCTTGATCTCTGTTTTACTGTCTTTACATTTATCTTTGTCAGTATATTTATTGTGGGCTTCACTTTCAGGTCTTCCTTCTACATTTTCTTCTTTAATTTTACTAACATCCAGATCTGTGATGTTTGCCCTCTTCTGTGTATCAAGATCCATTTCAGAATTTTTGGCTGTTGAACCAACATCACAAACGCTGCCTTTCTCACTATTATCTGCTGAGGGAAAAAGTGTCCCAGTTACATCAATATCTATTTTCTCATTACTGGTATGAAGATCAACATAGGAAACTGCAGCAGTGCCAGTTAGAGTATTATGCAAATCAATGGCAACATCTTTACACACATGGCCATTAAGTTGTTAACCGAGCACCTTATATTCAGTTCTGATTGTCTTGTAACATTCAACAAGTAACTTACCAGGCTGACCAGGGTTACTGTGCTGAGTGGCTTTACAAATGATGCTTCTGTCTGGACAAGTATTTTGCTGAAGCTCCTTCTTGTTGGTCTTATCATCACTGTTGCTATCCCTAGTGAAAGAGAGAATTTATATACACAGAATATTTGACAAACTCTAAATCCTCTATATAATGGACTTGGGTAAAATCCTCTGGGTAAACTGTACGTTTAATTTATTTCCAATGTTAATTGCAGTATGTCTACAAATTGTGTGTTAAGTATTATAATTTGATATACAGAAGAGTACAGTACTTCAGTGCATTTTATTGCTATATTCTAATGTCATTCTGATATAACAGATACTCAATATTAGTCTGTTATATCTAGGGTTGAGTGATGCAAATGAAAACTGACCAATGAATTAAGTTTATTTTGATTGAAATCCTCACCAAAATATTTTACATGGAGAATTTACATTGCTGAAGCATGCAAATAAACATATAGGCATATAGCAGTCACTAAGAATGACCCCAGAGAAAGTCATTACTATGAAGGATAACAAAGACCAGTAGAGGAGTTGTTAATTAAGATGAATGAGAATGTAGAATGGAAAGAGCAAGATAACTTAATTATGATGTACAAGTCAGGGGGTGGATCAAAGGTTGTAGGATGCTTGAGGAAGATACAAGAAGGGATGTTGCAGTTCAGAGGGTCATCTGAGTTGTGATGTCAGCATGTCTTTGGGAAGACAGTGACTGAATGAATGATGTTGAAGGTGTCTTCTTTTTTTTGGCTCACACTACCTCAGTGGAAGATAGCCTATCAGGAAGAAAAAAGAGAAGATGAAGGAGGTTTTATGTTATAGGAGCTTAAGCATCTAGCAGACCTGTTTGAACATGATGGATCAAAGTGACAAGTGGATTTTGTGATTTTATGTGCTTTAGGAAAGTGAGCAAGGTACATTTACTGCCTCATTCTACACTAGTGAACAACAGCTACATAAGAAAGTTTAGAAAGCTGTAAACAAAGGGTATAAAATAGTAAAATTTATTAGTGCATAGTAAGTATAGTGCCTACACCCTGAAGAAAATTGGAGATACTGCAATTTGGAGTGTCATCTGATTTGTCATGTCCATGCACTTCTGGCAAGATAACTGTTGAGTGAATAACAGTGAATGTTTCCTTCTTTGGGTCACTCTACCTAATGGAAAATGGCTGATATGATAAAAGAAAGGGAAACTTTTTAAAGCATGAATAATGAAGATGAACGGAGAGAAAAAGCAGGTGGGTGATAGAGGTATTTACCCAAGTGTCGAAATCTACCAAGATCTGTACTGTAACAAGTTAAAAAACAGAGCATTTGAATGTATATCCTAAATCACAGAAGAGGTACACTAGCAAGAATGTAATTTTTTGGTGATAAAGACAACCAGCTCGAGAATACTACTGCCAGATTCACAGAATGGGAAAAAAAAAATAATAATAATAATAATAATAATAAATAAAATACTCACAGAAGCGATGTCGGCACAAAGCTTCGAAAGAGATCTGCCCAGGTTAAGTACTCTGCCTCTTCAACAGTTCCTAACAGCTTTGACGAGATTGTCCGCCTGCGCCGTTTGGCATCACGTTCCTGACGCCTACCCCAATAATCAAGCTGCTCTAGCTCCCTCTCTAAGCCTCGCTTATGACGCTTGGATTTTCTCTTATTCCCAACACTTATTTGTGACTGTGATTCTTCTGCTTTATCTGAAGCTTCAGCTCCTGTAATTTCATCTACTGTGTCTGATTGCCCATTTTGAGAACTACTGCTTTTCTTTTCCTCTGAATCTTTACTTACTTTAACTCTTTCACTATTATCCTTTGGTAAACTGTTTATCATACCAGAGTTGCTTTTTAGGTGCACATTATCACCCTCATTGTCTGTTTTCTCTATTCCTAAACCTCCTGTAACTTCATGAGTCTTTTTCATCTGTTTGTGTATATCAGCAGTATTTTCTACTTCTTGGATCTCATTCTCTTGGCCTTCTTCCTCATCCTCTTCTTCAATATCTCCATCTTCTTCCGTTTCAACTACCCCTTCCCTTTCTGTTTCATCTTGCTCCTCTAAATCTTCATCTAATGCATTTGCATCCTCTTCTTGTTCAGAAGTTTCTTCCTGATTATCCTCTTCTTGTCCTATACCTTCTTGGTCTATCTCCTCTTCTTGCTCTGTCCCTTCCTGGTCCATCTCATCTTCTTGATCTGTTCTGTCTTGCTCTACTTCATCTTCTTGATCAATATCTTCATTGTTTACACCTTCTTGTTCTGTTCCTTCTTCTTGGTCTGTACCATCTTGCTCTGTCCCTTCTTGATCTGTACCATCTTGTTCAATTCCTTCTTGTTCAGTTCCTTGTTCTGTCCCTTCTTGCTCGGTCCCTTCCTGCTCGGTCCCTTCCTGCTCGGTCCCTTCCTGCTCGGTCCCTTCTTGCTCGGTCCCTTCCTGCTCGGTCCCTTCCTGCTCGGTCCCTTCCTGCTCGGTCCCTTCCTGCTCGGTCCCTTCCTGCTCGGTCCCTTCTTGTTCAATCCCTTCTTGTTCTGTCCCTTCCTGTTCTGCTTGCTCTATATCATCTTCCTGTTCAGTTCTTTCTTCTTGCTCCATTCCTTCTTGTTCTAAATCCTCTTCTTGTTCTATTCCTTCATGACCTACACAATCTTGTTCAATTCCTTCATGACCTACACAATCTTGTTCAATTCCTTCCCTCTGATCTACATCTTCCTGGTCTATAGCATCTTGATCAATTCCATCTTCTTGTTCCATCCCATCTTCTTGATCCAGTCCATCTTCAGCATCCATACCTTCTTCCTGAATCATATCATCATCATCTTCCTCATACACTCCTCCATCAAAATATTCATCATATTCATTATCATAGTCAAAATCTGTTTCAGGGAGTCCTAATATTTCAGTGGGCTGAAGAGCCATAATACCCTTCAGAGCATTTACAGCAGCTTCAGTTTCAGTCACCTCTGAACTTACTGTTCCACCCTCCTCCAAACCTTCCTCTTCTTCCTGTAACATTTCATTTTCTCTTGATGCACAATCTTCCCCCTCTTCAGGTTCTTCTAATTCTTCATCTCTGTCATCATTTTTGTCTTCTATCATTTCTTCAGCATCTTCATCTTCCTGCTCAGAACCTTCACATGAAAGAGCCCCCTCCTCACTATGTGACTCAGCTGTCAGTCTGTTATCCTTTGCCACTTGCATCCTTTCATTATCCTTTCCAATGAGTCCAACATCTGTTATGTTACAAACGTTGGCATTCACATTTGCCTTTTCAAGTTCCTGTGGTACACCTGAATCATTTTTGCTTCTAATTTCCTTACACTCTTTCAAGTTGACTTCATCATGAACATCCTTCTCTGGTGAACAAAGTTCTCCTGGATTATCTACAGCACCTGCCCTGACACTGTCATCATGTACTACTTCTTTATATAAGCTTTTTGATATTTCACCCTTTTCTCTCGTACTCCCTTCTTCTGGGAATATATTCCTTTGAACACCCATACTCAATATTACATTATCAGATCCTCTACACTTATGTACATCATTATCCTTCTTTGCCATAATATCTAGAGTGTGGGACTCTTTAGCTAACTTTTGAACTCTGTCTTCATGAGCTGGGCTATTAGTAAAGCCTTGGAAATCATTTTCCGACTCTACAGAAGTATTTAGAACCTTACTGTTTGGGTCTTCCATTCCTGTACATTGTGTCTCGGTAGTCTTAATAATACAATCAAAATTTGCATCCTTTTTCTTTATGGAACTCTCTTTTTCAAACTGGTCTTCTGAAATCTCTGCTACTTTAGAAGAACAAAGCTGAGTGGAGGATTCCTTAACAGTGATTAATTTCTGTTGTGCACTGCCTTCATCTTCGCTTCCTTTTAAATCATCATCTGGCCGAGAAAATGTGTCACTATCTATCGATCTTCTCTTTTCACCAACTCTAAATGAATCTTGGCTTTCACCAAGCTCAATTGTACACCGACGGCTAGAAATACGAGGTGGACTTTCCTGTAATCCTTCAGAAAGCTTTGGTGTAGATATATTCTGTTTTTCTTCACTACCCATTTTTTCATGATCCATGTTACTTTCAATTTTATCTTCTCCTTTGTCATCTTGGTATTTGTTATCAGGATTATTCTCCTCTCCATTTTTTAAATAATCATTCTTTTCTTTGTTTACTTTATTGGCGGTATCCGTACCCATTTTATCTCCAGTTTCAAAACTTGCTTCCTTTCTTCCCTCATTCAAATTTTCTTTTACTGTTTCTCTGTCAGTGTTAGCATCACTTGGATGGCCAGCATTTTTCCCTTCATTACCGATTTCCATACTTGTATCTTCAACTTTTGGTTTCAAAGCATCGTGTACATCAATTCTTGCTGCAAATTCCTGAAAAAAGTACACATAAATATGACAGTTACAATAGAACTCTGACATAAAGCACTTCAAGTTAATGTATTCTGCACTTATAATGTTGGCACTTTGAAAATACATGTATTTACTTATGAATATATGACTTGTATTTCTGATTGTCTTATCTATTCTTTAATAACTTTATATTCATCTGCATGTGTGTCCATGTGTGTAAGTGTGCATGCATACATATGTGTGAATGGGGTGTGGCATGAAATTTCCCCATATTTTTTTAACTCTTTCAGTGGCAGCCACGTAGATCTACATTACTGATGCCAGGGTCTCTCACGTATAAATTCTAGTGGCTTCAAACTTAACATGAGAAGCACGATAGGCCTACATACAAGAGAACAGGTCTGTGCGATCAGTGTGCACAGAATACAAAAAATTGAGACCCTTGCAGTTCACTGTGGCAATGCCATTTTTAGTACACCTTGGTCACTATGCCACGTGGATGCAAAGACCTTACTCACAGGCGAAATGAAAGTTTTTTTTCCCCCCAATGACAGCTCCAACAATGAAAACAGACAAGGAGTTTTTTGGCTTCCAACATATAATGGAAAAAAATTGATATTCAGGCCTCTAGAAATATTGCTGAGAGACGATCACTGACTATCCTCACCTTTGAAATAAAATGAAGAGCATATGGCAATCCCCAATGTTGTCGTCAATGAGTCACCAACCTTCAACCTGTTAGGTAAAAAGGACACAAGTGCAACTAATGTGACAAAGGTCCTGGAGAGCTAAACATTGCCACTTGAAAATGTCATATTAGTTGCACTTGTGTCCTTTTACCTAACACTGTCAGTCATTCTACCAACATTGATACAACCTTCAACCTCATGCATTTATGTATACTGTGGCAAGTATTGTTCAGATACGAGCAGTCGCTCGGTCGATTTTTTGCTTCCTGACGGGAGCGAAATTTCCAGATGCGAGTGGGCCTCAAGGGAGGTTCCTTCACACTGGTGAGGGGTTCATGCTCTTGATCTAGGGAACGGGATCTCAGTTGTTTGTTGGACTATCTTATTGAAACTTGGGCAATGTATGATGGAAAGATGCTTCTTAATGTACACCAAAAATGAAAGAAATCAGACCATAAACAACGGAGTTCACTTCTCAGCCAATAGCCGCCCCTTAGCAGCATTTTCATTTTATGGCTGTATTCTCGTTTTTTTGGTCTCATTTTATAGAATGGAAGACGTATTACAGAAATATATATGATTTTGATTGGTTTCACAACGAAAAGTACCTCAAAACTGAGCTCAAAGTAACAGAAATGTTCAATTCTTTGGCGATGTCCAAGAGTAAACAAAAGACATCACCGTCCATTCCAATATGCATTCATGAATGGGTTGACATTATTTATACAATTACAGTAATGCAGTAGTCTGCATAGCAGTACATCTTCTATTTTTTGTGTGAATAAAAATTACAAATTATTTATATTGTAATAATAATAATGATAATCCTGGGTAGTAGGTTGGTAGACAGCAACCGCCCAGGGAGGTACTACTGTTCTGCCAAGTGAGTGTAAAACGAAAGCCTGTAATTGTTTTACATGATGGTAGGATTGCTGGTGTCTTTTTCCTGTCAATTAAACATGCAAGATTTCAGGTACATCTTGCTACTTCTACTTACACTTAGGTCACACTACACATACATGTACAAGCATATATATACACACACCCTTCTGGGTTTTCTTTATTTTCATACTAGTTCTTGTTCTTGTTTATTTCCTCTTACCTCTATGAGGAAGTGGAACAGAATTCTTCTTCCGTAAGCCATGCGTGTTGTAACAGGCGACTAAAATGCCAGGAGCAAGGGTCTAGTACCCCCTTCTCCTGTATATATTACTAAATTTAAAAGGAGAAGCTTTTGTTTTTCCTTTTGGGCCACCCCGCCTCAGTGGGATACGGCCAGTGTGTTGAAACAAAGAAGTAATAAATAATGATAATAATAATAATAATAACAATAATAATAATAATGATAAAATAATAACACATAATAATAATAATAATAATGATAAAATAATAACATAATAATAATAATAATAATAATAATAATAATAATAATAATAATAATAATATGTTGTGTATCTTTATATGTGTATGCTTCTAGACTGTTGTATTCTGAGCACCTCTGCAAAAACAGTGATAATGTGCGAATGTGGTGAAAGTGTTGAATGATGATGAAAGTATTTTCTTTTTGGGGATTTTCTTTCTTTTTTGGGTCACCCTGCCTCGGTGGGAGACGGCCGACTTGTTGAAAAAAAAAAAAAAAAAAAAAAAAAATAATAATAATACATACAATGATAATATGAAATACATGCATACTAATAATGTACTATAACATAATAATTATAATAACAGATGGCTTCAAAAGGCCATCACTAGATGGTAGGGATTACCACAGCAATGCGGGAGCGGTTGTGGCCGCCTCCACCTGTTATATAATGACATTTTATTCAGGTTTCTATGTTATTTATATTGTTCATTATGTCATATTAGATGAATTGTGAAACATAAATAAGCCGTATAGACGATATTAGCGAAATATTGAAGTATCTTGTCATACCTCCTAAGAGCCAGAACAGATTAACTGAATTTCAATTAATTTAAATGAGGAAAATTGACTCTGCAAACAAGCAAATCCAGATGCAAGAAAGGTCATGGAACAGATTAAACTCGTAAGTAGAGGTTCAACTGTACTAGAAAAATGTACTCTTAAATGATAAGAATTTTTACATTTTTTAAATGTGTACATTGAGATCAATATTAATTTGTGGGTTTTGGAGAATAAAAGGGGTTAAAAGCATTTACTGCATTAACCTAAAAAAGTAATAACATCATGAAATTCCTTGTAACATACTGGCAGAATGGAAGCTTTCTCTATCCTTCAATCCATCCCCCAGTTGTGGTAGCTCCCAGGTTTGCTACCCACCCACGGAATGTAGATCAGAGGTATGAATATTGAATTGTTACAGATAAACTGTAAATATGTTACAGCCCAAAACAGGAGGAGGAGGGCCAAGCCAGGATGTAAGTCTGGGATGAGGGGATCCAAGCCAGGATGTCGCCCAACTAGGAGTCTAGGGCAGGGCCCAACCACGAGTCTTGGGCGGCACCCAACCAGGAGTCTGGGGCGGCGCCCAACCAGGAGCCTGGGGCGGTGTCCAACCAGGAGCCTGGGGCAGTGCCCAACCAGGAGCCAGGGGCGGCGCCCAACCAGGAGCCTAGGGCGGCACTCAACCAAGAGTCAGGGACGATGCCCAACCAGGAGTCGGGGACAGTGACCAAGACATAACGACAATCTGGGATGGAGGACCCAAGCTAGGATGTCAGTCAGGGACTGAGGGAAGGGGCTAGGCTAGGATGTCAGTCAATGATTGGAGCACTAAGCTAGGATGTCAGTCAAGGATGGAGGGGACCCTAAGTCAGGATGTCTGTCACAGTTGGAGGGACCGTAAGCAAGGATGTCTGTCATAGATGGGGATGCCTTAAGCCAAGATGTCAGTCAGGGACAGGGGGGGGCCTAAGCCAGGATGTCAGTTTAACACAGTACCCAAGACAGGATGTCAATCTAGGACAAGGGGATCGAAGCCAGGATGTTGCCCAACCAGGAGTCTGGGGCGGCGCCCAACCAGGAGTCTGGGGCGGCGCCCAACCAGGAGTCTGGGGCGGCGCCCAACCAGGAGTCTGGGGCGGCGCCCAACCAGGAGTCTGGGGCGGCGCCCAACCAGGAGTCTGGGGCGGCGCCCAACCAGGAGTCTGGGCGGCGCCCAACCAGGAGTCTGGGGCGGCGCCCAACCAGGAGTCTGGGGCGGCGCCCAACCAGGAGTCTGGGGCGGCGCCCAACCAGGAGTCTGGGGCGGCGCCCAACCAGGAGTCTGGGGCGGCGCCCAACCAGGAGTCTGGGGCGGCGCCCAACCAGGAGTCTGGGGCGGCGCCCAACCAGGAGTCTGGGGCGGCGCCCAACCAGGAGTCTGGGGCGGCGCCCAACCAGGAGTCTGGGGTGGCGCCCAACCAGGAGTCTGGGGCGGCGCCCAACCAGGAGTCTGGGGCGGCGCCCAACCAGGAGTCTGGGGCGGCGCCCAACCAGGAGTCTGGGGCGGCGCCCAACCAGGAGTCTGGGCGCGGCGCCCAACCAGGAGTCTGGGGCGGCGCCCAACCAGGAGTCTGGGGTGGCACCCAACCAGGAGTCTGGGGCGGCGCCCAACCAGGAGTCTGGGGCGGCGCCCAACAAGTCTGGGGCGGCACCCAGCCAGGAGTCGGGGATGACACCCAATCAGGAGTTGGGGACAGTGAAGAAGACAGAACCACAATCTGGGATGGAGGGCCTAAGCTACGATGTCAGTCAGGGACAGGGGGAAGGGGGCTAGGCCAGGATGTCAGTGATGGGAGCCCTAAGCTAGGATGTCACTCAAGGACTGGAGACCCCAAACCAGGATGTCAGTCAAGGATAGGGGGGACCCTAAGCCAGGATGTCTGTCACTGATGGAGGGACCCTAAGCAAGGATGTCTGTCATAGATGGGGATGCCTTAAGCAAGGATGTCAGTCAGGGATGGGGGGCCCTAATCAAGAATATGAGTCAGGGACAGGGTACCCTAATCTAGTACGTCAGTTTAACCCTTTCAGGGTCGGCAGGCCCTCTCCTAAACTTGTTCTCAGGGTCAAAAATTTTTCAAAACAAAAAATTTCTTATTAAACGATAGAGAATCTTTTCCTGATCATAATGACACCAAAAGCATGAAATTTGATGGGAAACTTATGGAATTATGCTCTAGTGAAATTAGCAATCTCGACGATGTTTATGCATCGGCAATTTCACCCACTTTCAGTCCTATTTTCGGTCAATTCCAATGTACCAGTCGACAAAAATCATAACTATTTCGGTAGAACTCCATTTTTTCTATTGAATGAGTACAAGAGACCACCTATTTACCAATTTTAAATATCCAATAAAGTGGTCAGAA